ACACTGTGACACAGGGTAGTTTTGGTGTGTAGGCTACATACACTGTGACACAGGGTAGTCCTGGTGTGTAGGCTACATACACTGTGACACAGGGTGGTCCTGGTGTGTAGGCTACATACACTGTGACACAGGGTAGTTCTGGTGTGTAGGCTACATACACTGTGACACAGGGTAGTCCTGGTGTGTAGGCTACATACACTGTGACACAGGGTAGTCCTGGTGTGTAGGCTACATACACTGTGACACAGGGTAGTCCTGGTGTGTAGGCTAAATACACTGTGACACAGGGTAGTCCTGGTGTGTAGGCTACATACACTGTGACACAGGGTGGTCCTGGTGTGTAGGCTACATACACTGTGACACAGGGTAGTCCTGGTGTGTAGGCTACATACACTGTGACACAGGGTGGTCCTGGTGTGTAGGCTACATACACTGTGTCACAGGGTAGTCCTGGTGTGTAGGCTCCATACACTGTGACACAGGGTAGTCCTGGTGTGTAGGCTACATACACTGTGACACAGGGTAGTCCTGGTGTGTAGGCTACATACACTGTGACACAGGGTAGTCCTGGTGTGTAGGCTACATACACTGTGACACAAGTAGTCCTGGTGTGTAGGCTATATACACTGTGACACCGGGTAATCCTGGTGCATAGGCTACATACACTGTGACCTTGGTAGGGGCTCTGGGGAACAAAGAGCCCAAAACATTGATCTTTTGTTGTTGCCTGCTGGGGAGAGATGGAATGTCACACATCCCGGTCCATAAAGTAATCTGGCCAACACAGGCAGCCCCCGAAGTCTGTCAGTGGCCAGTCCACTAGCAGCAGCGTCAGCATGGATCAGGGTGCCTGACGTCACAATGGTCAGGAAGTCGGTCACTTCGGGTCAGCTGGGCTGAGGCCAACCGCCATCATACACAGTGACACATATGTTCCTGGTGTGAGGCTAAGCCAACCATCACTGGTCAACAGTCAAAGCCCTCTCACATTAACACAAACTGTGTATTCACAGTGTAAAGTTTCAAGAATAAAATGTGACGAGACGAGACAATTCTCAACCAAAAATAAACATCAACATACCAAGAAAAAAATTTATACATCTGGAGTGTACATTGGTTTCACAAAGTTTTATATACAAAGAAGATGTATTTTACATACTGATCATTTATTTACAGCATCCATAAAGTTGTAAAATCTATAAAAGATTCATTTTTCAAAGAAATAACAAAAATGTTTTACAGTTTTAATAATATCTGATGTCATACTATCAGAGCTAAATGAACAAAAAAACTCAAGAAGTTCCATTCAGTTGATACAACTTTTGGCATCTCATTCAAGAAAAATTCAGATTGCTTATAGCAAGTACAGAAAAGCAATCATAATTTCCACCAATGTCAAGAAGGCTTACTATGGCTCACTAAAGCATTCCAGGCTGGGTATTTTTAACTCCCTGAACATCCTAAAGAAGAAAACAACATATCACTTCAAAAGTAGTAGATAAAAGCCAAGGAAAACTATTTGATTTCAATTTCTAATTTGTTTCCAATATTTTTATGCATGAAGTTGCTTGCCAATTATTGGCTCAAATTACTCTTTCTATCTACAATGTTTATCTTCTTCAAGCAACAATATTATCCAAGCAGGAAGGTTGATGCTGAATTCACACAGCAAACAAAATACTGTGCATTATCTCCTGGATTGGGAAAGTATTGACTGGGACTGCAGCAGAACTGCTTACAATTACACAATGATACGATGGGAGGAAGCTTGTAGGATGTACGAAGCCCCACTGCCTGCTGTTACAGGAGAAACACAGACAGGGAGAAGGCAACTGGAACTAGGGTCACACTTACCAAGCTGATCGATTTGATCATCAAATCGATCAGCTGGGTAAATGGACACTTGGAATGATCAAATCAATCAGCTTGGTAAGTGGAGACAACCTGGGATGATCAAATCGATCAGCTGGGTAAGTGGACACATGGGATGATCAAATTGATCAGCTTGGTAAGTGGACATGTGGGACGATCAAATTGATCAGCTTGGTAAGTGGACATGTGGGACGATCAAATTGATCAGCTTGGTAAGTGGACACATGGGATGATCAAATCGATCAGCTGGGTAAGTGGAGACAACCTGGGATGATCAAATCGATCAGCTGGGTAAGTGGAGACAACCTGGGATGATCAAATCGATCAGCTGGGTAAGTGGAGACAACCTGGGATGATCAAATCGATCAGCTGGGTAAGTGGAGACAACCTGGGATGATCAAATCGATCAGCTGGGTAAGTGGACACATGGGATGATCAAATCGATCAGCTGGGTAAGTGGACACATGGGATGATCAAATCGATCAGCTTGGTAAGTGGACACGTGGGATGACCAAATCGATCAGTTTGATGAATGAATTTTACAGTTAAATGGAAATTCTTTTCGCAGAAGCAACATGGTATGAATCAGGGTTTTTTAAAGTTGATTCCTTCTTTCAAATTATGTCAATGCAGTGCAAGTTCATGGCGGACAAATTAAAAAAAGTCATCTCTGAAGTAACTAGATGTACACGTCATTCACACAAAGTTCAATCACAACTTTCTCTCTTTTTTTAACATTTCACTATGGTTCAAGGCGAAGTCACTACAAATAGATATTTAACATCAACAGTGTAATGTTATTTCCTTGAACTGAAAATAGACAACAGGAAACCCTGATGATAACAGACAAGTTGATTTTGTTAAATAATATACTTTATTGATTATTGCCGATGTTTTGGTCAACAACAATGATTAATAAGGTACTTTACTTGCCAGTCCACAGGGACTGGCAGCCACATGAATTACCGGTCCAAGACTAATCTTACTGGTAAAAAATGGTAATTACCAGTAAACAGGAACGTTGTTACTCCATCATATTTCTTAATGTTCATATCTTTTCTTTGATCAAGAAACATTAAAACTTAAACATAAAAATCTGATCTTACTGCTTTTATCATTGTTTATGCAAATAAGCTACTTCAAGCAAAACTTCAAGTAGACAAAGCCACACCAGGCAAACATCTGTCCAGATGATATAGATATTGAATCATACAGCTTCTACAACCACACATTAAAGTGTACCCAGAGGTGATGAAATGACAAATGTCTGCATGTTGTTGATCCAGTTGCAAGGTGAGCCATCAAGAGGTTACAGCATCACCAGGCTTCATTCAGGGGAAGGGGGCACCTGTCACAGACAGACAATAGGCGAGCCATGACCCATCATACCCCTACCTACAGCCCACTGGTACTTCCACCACTTTCATCAACTATCTGTGGCTAGGCCAGTTTTCACTGTAGTTGCTATGGTTACCTTGTCAAAAGAAAGAATGTTGGAAGCTATATTCAGCTACTTCTAGCCATTTCTTAAAGTTATGAAAGTGACACACAGCATATCATCTCTAATGGAACAACATGTTGATAAGTGGCCAGACAAAGGCTATCAGAACGAGTCATGAAGAGGACATCTCACAAAAACAGAAATATAACATGAACTTGGCACAGCTTCCAGTCAATGAAACAAACTGCCAGTATACATATCACCCTGAATAATAATGATCTAAGAGTTAGACAATTTGCAGTAATTCAGCCTTAAAGGCAATTAGGCCCTCTACAGATGGCAAGGGGCCAGGTCGACTGATCAGCTATTCTACTCAAGCATTTCAAATACAGGCAGCAAAGGATATTGAGACAACACATCAACAGCAGGATAACCCTGTACACTGACAACACATCAACAGCAGGGTAACCCTGCAGACTGACAACACACCAACAGCAGGGTAACCCTGTACACTGACAACACATCAACAGCAGGGTAACCCTGCAGACTGACAACACATCAACAGCAGGGTAACCCTGTACACTGACAACACATCAACAGCAGGGTAACCCTGTACACTGACAACACATCAACAGCAGGGTAACCCTGCAGAATGACAACACACCAACAGCAGGGGAACCCTGTACACTGACAACACACCAACAGCAGGGTAACCCTGCAGAATGACAACACACCAACAGCAGGGGAACCCTGTACACTGACAACACACCAAAAGCAGGGTAACCCTGTACACTGACAACAAATCAACAGCAGGGTAACCCTGCAGACTGACAACACACCAACAGCAGGATAACCCTGCAGACTGACAAAACATCAACAGCAGGGTAACTCTGTACACTAACAACACATCAACAGCAGGGTAACCCTGTACACTGACAACACATCAACAGCAGGGTAACCCTGTACACTGACAACACATCAACAGCAGGAAAGGAAATTGTAGACTGAATCATGTGGATTGACTGACTATATAAATGAAATATATCCAAAGGCTAAGCATAGGGAAATATTCAGGTGGGGTGAGGAAATCTGCTTTAACATTGAGTTGAACAGTATTTCCGATATATGGTGGCACATCAGCTTGATGTGGGCGGAAAGCCTGGTGCAGGTCTTAGGTGTTTACTACTTTGGTGAAACCCATGAGCACCCGTGTGGTGCTGTCAATACTGGTATGGTTCGAACCAACTATCATAAGGTTCTGCCACCCCCAAAGGACGCAACTCTGGAAAGCCAACATATTCAGGCGGAGGTGCAGGTGCAAGTGTGCATTTCCTTAAAGTAGTCGATAACAAACTGGTAGGTCCTACCCACCTGATTCACACAATGTTTGCTTGTGTGTCTGGACCAGACAATCCAGTGATTGACATCATGAGCACTGATTTCCACAAGAGGGACATGACACACATCAACCAAGTCAGCGAGGATGAGCACCCGATCCTGTAAGTCGTCTCTCACGACAAGCAATGGTTGCTGAAGACCAATCCTGACCCGGATCTTCATGGGGTGATACACACAGTGAAGGGGTAACCTGTGATGTATGTTATACATCACCTAGGCTTGCCAATGGCTCGCATAATACACTTATTTTCCCTTATATTTGCAAAGTATAATCAGCAAAAGTACTCACCATTTCATATTTACTGAGCAACTTCATTGCATACACCTTCTTAGCCTTTTTATGTCGCACCTTTGGAGAAGAATTGAAACTGATCACAATATTGAAACAGAAAAAAATATTTTGGCTCACAGGTTTAATTAAAAAGATATCTGGTTTTGCAGCTGTAGCTGAAAATATATCTGGTCTCGATACAATATCCCTGGTCCCACCAAGATTATCAAGTGGTCGGTCCCTAAGAGACCTTCGATATGATACACGATACATATTTTTAGACAGTAATGAGAGGATTTTCTGCATCAAGATAAGTTACTTTCATGTAAGTGCTGTATTTTTTTCTTTAAAATTAAAGAACTTTTCAATTTCATGTCCTTTGTGATGTTAATTTGGCATATTGTGCCCAGACCAATATATGTATTTGGAGCGAGTATTTGTAGAAGTATGCCATGTAAGTTGACATTTATGCAGCATCAGGCATGCAACTTGGGGTGCTATCTGAAGAGACTACTTTACTTACCAACTGTACTTCGCCAAAGGCACCACGGCCTATAACCTTGATCACATCAAAATCGTCTGCTTTCATACGAAGTTTCTTTAGTAAGTCTACAGTTTTGGTATCTGAAAAAGAAAAGTTTCAAATCTTGTAATCTACTAATGAGAACCACTATGTTGGCTTCATTTTGAGAAGGCTTCAGTCTCAACTGAACGATTCCTGGAATGGTAAAGGAGGATATGCTATCATTCAAAGTCTAAACAGTGGTGACCCAAGGAGGCAGTGTTGTCACTGATGCAAAACCAGAAAGGCTTTATTATTTGCGTTCAGCCATGGGACACAATGGCCACTTAAGTTTGAAGCTTCTGATCAAGTGGCACACAACAAGCGGCAAAACAATGCATCTTAAACTAAAGAAAACAGCAGCACACATGACAAATATCATATGCTCATTGTCATGTGACTTTGAACTCATGTATATTGATTTAGGCTTGACTATTTCATAAACACAGATGTTAAATCATGCAGGCTTTCTATTTCAAATTTTCAATTGATCAAATCTATCAAATTCCACCAATAACTGTCAATAATACCAAGACTCTGGAAATCTGGCCAATTCAGGACGGGCCATGTGACCTTTGACCTACCTAATATTGACTAGTCAGTTATAAACCTGTCTTTTAGGATTCAAACACTAAAGTTGGTCAAAATCAACAATGTTTGGCTTCGGCAGCTGCGTGGAAGGGACAGATATCCCTGAATGTTCAATTCCCCATCTCAGGATGTGGAAGTTCCACATGGCCCAGACTGCCGACTGCCATCTGCCATCAGTGGCTGGGCACCAGCAAACGAGAGTTTGCATCTGTCTCTAAAATGCAAGAACTCTCGAGTGCTATTTTTGTACTGTCATGGGGCTTTGGGGTTCTTTTGTTTGGTTTTTAATTTCCCCCTTCTAGAGTGGTGGGTGAAAGTTGAGTGGCTCAAGTAATTGTGTAGACAAGAGCACATTCCAGAAGCATGTGCATGCTGTGTTTGTTGTGAGCCTGTCGTTATGCAATGAAATGAGATGTACTCACATCGGAGGAGGAAATGTTCCACATTCTTATTCCTCCTGATGGCTGTATGATCCAGATCGGCCACCAGAGCTGTTATACTGTCCTGAAATAAGAAGGGTAGAGATAACCAACCTGGAGTCACAGAGAAGCCCCACTGTGAAGTGTATGATAGATGGAAGAAGAAACTGCTGTCAATAATGATCAGTGCAAAGTGCACAGGAGGTGGCCACCACTGTCCAGTCATGTGTGGTCAGGTCCCGTTGGGCATTAGGATTAGCCATGCTGAGCTATAGAGAGTCAAGCTGGGCTTTATGTGTCGCAATGAAACATTGCACTTTCTGCTGGGGGTATGACGACACACTAAAACAGCCAGGTCATGCAGGGAAGCAGATGAGCACTCACCATGCACACTACCTCACCTGAAGCCATCTCCCCTAAGTTCGTGTTTTTAGCTATTCCTCAGGTAGCAGTTTCCTTTCTTAAACAGTCTGCCTTTATGTTTAATAATTATTTAATGTGCACAGAAATAATGCATTTTCTCTGATATGGTAACAAGTGACGGCAGCCCAGCCAAGAAGTGTCTGTACAAACTGTCAATTACTGAAAGCCTGATACCCCATTAGTCCCCTGTCCCCACCTTGGGCAGGGCTTGAAAAATGTCTTTAACCAAACTTGTCCTGCTGGGTTAGTAGACATTCTTTTGTACTCTTCCTGCAATATTTTCACTTGCCTATTATCATGATCAAATTTTGTACAGTTTTATGTTCTCAGTTATTGTCACTATTTTCTGTAACTAACCTTTGAGTTGAAGAGTATTTACAACAGACAATACAAAATAATTCACAGTCACTGCCATCTACATTGATCTCCGCCCATTCAAAGTCACTCAAACATGAACATTTGGGTGTGTTTTTTAGTCATACTGGTTTTTTTTAAATAAATAATTATTTTGCCTGTTTGGTTATCAAATCATGTCTTTTCTCATCAATCCCACCATAGGCATTCCTAATTAAAAACAGCCATTACCCTCACAAAATCATTCACTTTCACTTTGACATTTGAGAATCAGTAACAAGTCACTTACAACAAAAATAATAAATATATATATGTACCATATCGGTAAACAGAGTACCCTTCATTCACGACTTAAGGGCGGGCAACTCTATATTATGATATTATATATGATGAATGAGAGCTATACTATAATTGCATCCCTTAAAAATAGTTTCAAGACCAGCTGCGCAAACACACTTTTTGTTTATTTCTTCAACAGACAGTTGCCAAGAATGCCGTCTATTTATGATATAAGCAACATTTATTTCGTTATAATTACTTCGAACATACGAGAAATGAAAACATATTTTAGATTCAAAATTATCCTGCATATTTTATTGAAAATGATTAGAGATGAATTGATACAATTGAAACATATGTACGCGCCTAGTAGGACGAGTGTTTCTTCAATTCTTTCTCACCCTGCACATGCTTCCACTCATCAAATACAAGCGGACAAGTGGATTTTTCGAGCAACCAGTTTCCACTGTCAAAATTACTCATTTTAACTGGCACGGCCTGTTGCTTTCACACATTGAGTCAGACAAGGAAAAAATATTCTATCATACCTAAAACCAAAATACAAGTCTACATTATCATGATTACGAAAACAAGCCACATCACTTCATCTGTGCAAATACCGGTATTCGGCTTGCCCTGTCCATCAATGTGTGTGCACTCATGCTCATGGCTTATATTATTTAAGCACAACATGGACCAGTGACTTCTTTTACAGGGCACTCTGTATAATTCTGCTATCTGACAATAGCGGTACATCATGGATCTATTGCGCCCACTAGAAACATCCATATAAGGGCTGCACAACCTACATCCATCATCAGGGACTTATTAGTCTGTCTCTGTCCCTGAGCCGTGTTATTTTCCCTTCCACCCAGCCCCTACTGTACACCAATAGCCCTAAATGAAGCAAGACTAGATGTTCCGTAGGCTCCCTGAAACTTTATCTGGACCTGCTGAGAGGCAGATGTTCGGACCCGAGTTTGAAGCCAATGTCAAAAAACATTCTGAAACAGGAATTAAACTTTCCCAATTATGTCATAATAGTTAAAACTAATGGTATGGTCATGCAGAGATGACATTTATTTTATGGATAAGAAGACAAACAATGAGGATAGGTCTTAAAGTGTTGTTTGTTTGTTGTTTAACGCTGCACTCAGCAATATTCCAGCTATATGATGGCGGTCTGTCAATAATCAAGTCTGGACCAGACAATCCAGTGATTGATATCATGAGCATCGATCCACGCAATTGGGATACGATGACATGCATCAACCAAATCAGCGAGCCTGACCACCTGATCCCGTTAGTCTGCTCTTCTTAAAACTTAGTCTTACATTATTCAAAAACTTCTGAATATACTAAAATATGCAAGAAGACAAATCCCAATTATTAACAAACAACTTTTGTCCCAATTTGACCCTGGCAGGGGCACTTAGTCTGGAATCCCAGCTACATCACTGGTCATGCAGAGTTGAAGGGACATCCACAAACTAGACCTACTTTCAGTGTGATTCCTTAAATGGAAGGCTATTGTGGCTACTGTTCAAGGCAATTTCATACACAGCCCGAGTTTCCTGGTACACACTGCCCTTCAGTAGCAAAACAAACTTCCTGATTGATTAGCTTCATTTTTCACTGATTTTCTGTCATTTCAAAATCTAAATATATTAAAGTGAGAGATATGAACTAAGGTTTTGTCAGTCAAAATCATTACTTTCTTTACACATGACAACAAACCTGACACAGCATTCAAGGTGAAGGTGAAATGGGGTTTTACGTCGCATTCAAGATTATTGCACTCAGTCACACAGCGACGTGCTAGTTCGAACTAAAGCTGATTTGATAGTGCTAGCCCACTGAGATACTATGATGCAGTTTAACAATAATTAGTCCATTCAAACACAGTTTTCTGACTCCAAGCAGGCAAGTCCTTGTTTTGGCCCCTTAATGCTGAGCGCCAGCTAGGCTAACAACAAATACAATATTTTAACGTCTTTTGGTTTGATGCGGCCGGGGATTGAACCACGGACCTTCCACTCTCCAGGCAGACGCTCTACCATGAGACCACAGAACATTGCAGAAGCAGTCCCATAGCATCAAACAAGTAAACAGCTGTTGTTGACTTAGACATTTGGTAGAGTCATTGACTGAATCGGACTGAATTGAGACTCATGATCAATTAATGTTTAATAATCTATCTACATCCCATCCCAGATTTAGTTAACTTAAACATCACAAAATAGAGCCACAAGGCTCTATAGCTCACTTGACTCATGAAGTTAATTTATGAAGTAACAACTTCATGACACTTCAACCTAATATTGGTATAAATATTCAGTGAGCTCAAGAAAAAATTATGCAAAAGATTCTGAGGGAAAAGTTTCTTTTATATTTTGCTGAGGCGGCCAAGACTACATTCTGATCATAACTCTGTGAGCAATATTTTACCGACATTATAGCTGGGATCATTCATACAAGGTTCCCGAACCTTAGGCCTTGTAGTTTCAGAGGAGATGTTAAATGCAGTCACAGCTTAAAGAAATAATTACCTGACAATCTACTATTGCATAAAACCTAATCAAATACTCTGTGACACATATCTATTGTGTAATACCGTATTTGACGTAATAAGCACCCACGGCGACATTTGCTAATATATTGGCTAGTGAACAATCCCAATTAGCACCCCTTCCGATTGATCAATGTACACAAGACTTATTTATTCGCGTATAATACGCACTCGTGTGTTATATGCACCCTTAATTATGTGCAATTAAATTCTGGAAAAATATATCTGTTGTACATAAACACTTCAGGCTGTCAGCATAAACCACGAAATTTAAGGGAAGGCTGTCTGTTAAACCTACTCTCACAGCTACTGCAGGGAAGGCTGTCTGTTAAACCTACTCTCACATCTACTGCAGGGAAGGCTGTCTGTTAAACCTACTCTCACATCTACTGCAGGGAAGGCTGTCTGTTAAACCTACTCTCACATCTACTGCAGGGAAGGCTGTCTGTTAAACCTACTCTCACACCTACTGCAGGGAAGGCTGTCTGTTAAACCAAAATAATATTCTAATAAGAACCCCCTATTTCTAAATTTGAGAGCGCCCTGGGCGCTTATTACGTCGAATACGGTATATTAATATCTTTGTTTATTTCACTGCTGAGATTCTTCTCTTGCAAGAAAGATTTCATTCAGGATAATAAAGTCTATATTATCTTATCCCCTACAGTGTGTCACATTTAATAATATTTTACCCTCCTACATATTGACGTTGTTGACACTAGAACAATAAAATCAAATAATTTTGGTAGTCTGTCTTAAGCTGAGCAATGCGAAATACTGCTGGTATATTCCCCCACAAATGAGACTGGACCAAGTCAGCTCATGCAGGCCGTACAAATGAGTACAGCAGCTTGTTACTTGGGTTCCTTGTAGTTATGTATTACAGGCAACTGCAGGCTCCCAAACCATGTGGTTCATATCACAGTTAATCAAGTACAGTGTTATTACATTAAATTGTGTGTGTAGAATATTGGAAGACAGTTTACTTGTTGAAGGAACAGTTTCCAGATTTCTATATTTCACATGCAGACATGGTAAAATGATGATATACCTAGCTTGTACTCTACATGATTCACAATTTGTGAATGAAAAATTCAATTAGCAATGATAGGGTACACTGTTGGTTGAGAGCTCAATAAATCAGAATTCATAATTTAACTATGACAAATCTACAATACTTCCTGATTATCAAGTTTATAACACCCCTTAAACTGTTCAACTTAGCAGCTTTATGTAGTATTGTAAATCTACTTAAATAAAACTGAGACAAATACCAAACACCTGCCTGTTCACATGGTTCACTCTCTACTCTCTTCCTAGACAAGGAGATATAGTATTTGAATCTACATTATCTCGGGACCCTGAGAAATGTTCATATAAGGATTATGACAATGACTCTTTGAATTTCATGTACAAAAAGTATGATCCATGAGCTTCAGGGTTGGCAAGACTACAGTGAT